AAAAAATTCGTGATGGTGTGTAGCAAGAATGCCACAGAGGGATAGCTGAAGAGTTGGGAGTGGTACTGGAGGTTGGAAAAGTTTAGCAACATAAAAAATACTTTTTAGGGTTGCCATCTGTGGTGGGAAGATCTAAGAAGAAGGTCTTTGCTAATATTAGAGAAAGGGTTTGGAAAAAGCACCGAGGTTGGAAGGAACAACTTCTCCAAAGCAGGGAAGGAAGTTGTCATAAAGGAGGTAGCTCAATCTATCCCACCGTACGCTATGGGATGTTTGAAACTCCTTGAATATTTATGTCATGACTTGAGTCTTTAGCTTCAAATTTTTTGGTGGGAGCAAAAGAAAGGGGAAAGAAAAATACATTGGGTAAAGTGGGCAGACATGTGCAAAAGGAAAGATAATGGAGGCATGGGATTTCACGATCTGAGAACTTTCAATATTGCTATGTTGGCTAAATAAGCGTGGAGATTACACAAAACCCATACGCTTACCAGCCCCTTACCTCCTTTTATAGCCCCTTTGAAAAATGCTTAGTCACACTTCACTTACCAGCTGGTCGACAAGTGACCACCTTATATTGTTAATTTTCTTGTTACAAGACAATACCATCCCATTGGAGTCCACAAGAGATAATAAATTTTTTGGTGGAAGTAAAGTAGTTTTTCTTTGATGACCCTTGTTTATAAGATTTGTACCCAATGGCGAAGATTATGAGAATATTTGTACCCACTGGTGAGCAACATAATGTTATCTTTTTCTACCATTCGAAAGCGTGTGGAGGCCACTTTTTATCAAAGAAAACTGAAGTAAAAATCCCGTAGTATGGATTCTACTGGCATACCTTGTTCAATTATTGCTTCTAGTTCTGCAAGAACTGTGACTGATGCCAAAGGTTAGGTGGAGTAACCCGAAGGAATATGATGCCTCTAAACCCTATCATTGTAATTGAGATTTTTGACTGCTAGAGTATAGATTTCATGGGTCATTTTCCCTCATCTTTTGGTTATCATTATATTTTGCTAGAATTTGATTATGTTTCTAAGTGGGTAAAGGCTATACCAAGCAAGACAAATGATCATGAAGTCGTCATCAAATTTTTGAAAGAAAATATTTTGTCTAGGTTTGGAATGCCTAAGGCAATCATCGGTGATGGTGGTTCACATTTTTGTAATAGCCATTTGGGACTTTGATGCACAAATATGGTATCACACATAGAGTGTCAATTACTTATCATCCATAGACCAACGATTAGTTTGAGTTGGTCAATAGGAAAATTAGCATATATTAGAAAAGATGGTGAACCCTAACGATAAGGATTGGTCAATTCGATTGACTGATGTTTTATGAGCCTATCATATAGTATATAAGACTCACTTAGGTATGTCTTCTTATAAGTTGATATATGGCAAGACCTGTCATTTTTCAGTAGAGATTGAACACCGAGCATATTGGGTCATAAAGTCATTGAATTTTATTTTGGGTCTACCCGGTGAGCACAAGAAATTGCAATTGAATGAATTGAAAGAAATACGTAGGGATGAGTATGAGAGTACTCGGATTTATAAATAAAGTGATAAAATTTTTCATGATAAATCAATATTAAGAATAACCTTTGAGCTGGGTCAAAAAGTACTGCTATACAATTTTCGCCTTCACCTCTTTCCAAGAAAGTGGCGTTCGCGATGGACTGGCCCCTATATATGTCTATCCTAATGGGGCCTTGGAAATTAAAATGCTAAGAATGATCAAACTTTTAAATTTAATGGACAACGACTTAAGTCATTCTTAGAAGGTTTTTCACTTGAGGAAGATGTGGAAGAACTGGTTCATCATGTGTATCAAGATCCTATGTTTGAATAGTCTTTTTATTTCATTTTTAGTTTAGGGTAGTTAGTTTATTTTCTTTTGATTTTCAATTTATTTTATTGTATTTACCACATTTTTCATAGTTTTTGTCGTTGTTTTGCAACTGGTGGTTTTATTTTTAGGAACTCAATACCAGGTGTTTTCTTATCCTTATTGTATTCATTTTTCTCATTACATGTTTATTTTTGCATTAAGGACAATGTGTGATTTAAGTGGGGGAGAGGCGGTAAGGGTTGCACCATGATTCTATGTTAATACCACAATGCCTATATTGAAAATTTGAGAAAAAAATTAAAAAGAATTGAAAATTTTTGAAAAAAAAATGCATCCAATTTGGATTGTATTATTCTTTCTTAGTTAGCGTGAGATTTTTTATTAATTCGCTTGAATCTTGAGTTATTTGCCTAATAACTGTAGAAGTTTATTCTATGATTAAATATCAAGTTCATGTTTTAATTTGAAACTCACCCTATGTGCACCCTGCGTATGCAAATTTTTGTGATTTTGTTGAATGAGATTCATATCTTAAAAGGCTTGACATACATAGTGAAAATGGATAATTGCCTTTGTGTTTGTGTCATTCTTTGTTGGAGGATTGAAATACAGTTACTCAAAATACTACTCTTTCAATAATTTCATTATTTTTGTTTTGGTTAATATAGGAGAAGTAGTTAGTTGACTATATCTCAATGCAAAAAAGTGTCTGGCCATACATTTTTGGAAAATTATCTTAGGTCATCTTTAAATTAATTTGAACCTTAGCCTATTCTTTATTGTCATTGTCTGTAGTTAATCGTGATTGAGCTTTATTGAAAATTTCATTTCTTAAGCCACATTATTTACCAAGCGAAGCATAAATATGTTTTTCTTAACTTGGTTATCCCAATACTGATATTGTTTACAAAGTGAAAAGGGAATGATGGTTATAAAAAGGAAAAAGAAAGAAAAAAAGTGAAAGAAAGGTGGATGATGAGTATAGATCTTATTGTTGGCATTCAAAAACAAGCAAAGTAAGAAAGAAAAGAAGTGAAAAAAAAATGTGAAAAAATAATGGAAAAGGGTGAAAGATAGAGAAATGAATGTGGTGAGCTAATTGCATTCCAAATGAGATGTGGTTGGGAACATCAGATTCTTGGGATAACTCCTTTTTGAATTCTTACACCGATTCGTTTCTTTAGCTTTCACCCAATGCCACATTACAACCAAATTAAAGTCCTTTTTTATCCTGAGAATGGTGGTGAGTGTATGTACTGAATCATGCTAAGAGGTAGGTCAATTGTACTGCTTTCATTTGCCCTAACATTCCTTTCATGATTATGCCAAAATTGTTTCATTTCCATAATTATCCTTCATTTCTAAATTATATGTGAGCTATGCTTTGTTTTGAATTATAAGATTACGTCTCACACATAAACAATGAGTGGAAATCCTTGGTACGGTTTGCATCAAAGCCAAAATTGGACAGCTAATATAGATTTGGGTTTTGTATAATAAATCTATTAAATTGCACATTCATTTCACACACGTGAGTGTCAAGTGGAAATGGGGATTCTATGAAGCAGCTCTTAACTAAATGCCTTTGGTGGACAAGGAATTTTTTTTAAATCTTATTGTTAAATAGGATATTATAATATGTTCAAAGTTCAAGATGGGATCAAAAGAAATTTGTAAGTATCTTCATTGAAAACTTTCACGAGACGCAACTTGTTCATCAGGGTGACCTAAGAGTTTAAAGGTTAGTTACATTTACTAAATGCAATTGTGTACCCGGTAAAAGGGGCCTTAGTTCTTTTTAGAATTCATTTTGAGATGGAAGAGGTTTTGCAGAGTTGTTGCATGTTTTATGTGCTTTAAATTAAACACTAATATGATGTTATTAAATAATTAGGTGGTTTAGGCATTTAAATAGGGTCTAGGAAGCCTTAGGGTCACTAAAATAAAGAAAAAAAATCAAAAATTGAAAAATCAAAAATCAAAAATCAAAAATCAAAAATAAAAAAATAAAAAATTGGGTGCTAGTAGTGGTTCTACGAATGACAGAGATCGAGGTACCGGTTCTACAAGGGGAGAATCAGTTCTTCGCTGTAAGTTTTGACCAACATTTAAAATTAGAATACCAAAGGTTTAATTAGGGGTCTCCGTGGGTCGGGTTGGGTTAGGTCCGCGAAATTTTTTTTGGGCCGAACTTGGATAGTATAAGTCCAAGTACTTGTTTAAGTGAGTTATCGTGCGGGTCGGACCGGGCTTCGGGTAGGGATAGGCCACCCGCAACCCAATCCGTGAACCTATTAAGTGGGATTGTTTTCAGGCTTTTTTATATGCATCTTTAATTAAAAATAATGAATATTTTTGTAACTTAATATTTGTGTAAATTATATTTTTGAATCAAAATAAAGTCAAAATCGATTGAAAAAAAAAATAATGAACTACACCTAATAGAATGAATAAATCTCAATTAAGATGATACCTACTAACTTATTTGTCATTTGTATTACTCTATCATTTAAAATTTATACGTTTAATACATGAAAAAGAAAATAGTACATTATTTATAATATCTTAATTTTTAAAATTTTAAATTTCGATATTGAGAAACTTATTTTAAAGTTTAAATTTAATGGTATAAAAATATAATTTTTTTCAAAGAAAATGTAAGCTAGGCTGGGCTGGGCTTGCGGGCGAGCTTTATGAGCAGGCTCTTGGGCCGGACTTCGGACCAAATAATGGACTTGAGGACAAACACAAACATTTTTTTTAAGAATATTAAACTTAAGTTCGAACAGGTTAATTATCGAATTTTTGACCAATTTTTTTGGGTCAAATAACAAAACTTGTGGATAATCCACCCACAGACACCTCAGATTTAATCAATCACTCGTTACCTCACAAAAATCAAAACCCACTCCGTCAAACTCTCCCTGCACTTCCGAAAGCACTCCCCACAACCCCAAACACCTTTGATCTTCCACCTACCTTCTCCCGCTCATCTCCACCGAAACTACCCAAACCCCCAAAACCCTAAGTCTTCAACAATGGCTGCTCGTAATTTGCTTGATTCGACTTCGTTTGGCTTAGATTATTGTTTGGGGATGGTTATCTATCCTTTGATTTGAATGGGTGTTTTGGTAATTGGAATGGCTAGGACCCGTGGAGTATTATCTCTGGTGACGAAGTCGAGTTCGGCATCCTCTTCCAGGCCTAGAGCTACTAGGCAAGAAAAAGGGAAAGGTAAAGCCACATCAAGCGGCAATGAGGAGGAGTCCGAAGCTAGGAAGAAGAAAAAAAAGATCATTTATGAGTCTACGATTGCGGCAAGGGGAGTAATTTATGAGAGGATGGTAGATAGACCGAGCTTGGGGAAGAGCGGGCCGACCTGACAGAATGTGGCAAGAAGTTTGGATTTATTTTTTAAGCATGTGTCTAGGTATATTCTTAATCTTTGTCGGGAGTTTTATATTGCTATGACTCTAGTGAGTGGCGAGGAGAAGAGAATGAGGACTACGATCCATGGAAAGGTTATTGAGGTTACACTGGATACCATAGCCACGTACTTGGGTTACGAGAGACCTCAACCCAACGAGATTGATTATCCCTATTCTGATTTTCAGTCAAAGGCATTGGGTGATTATGCTAAGGATATGTATGAGGATTTTTAGCATTTTGATGGGCAGTTTGTGCAGGGTTGTATAATTGGGGATTACCGGACGTTGAATAAGATCATACACTATAATGTATACCCCAGAGGGAATAAGAAAAAACAAATGCTGCCCAAGATCACCCTGTTGTATGAGTTTATGGAGGGCTCGAGGATTGACGTTGCCTTACTCATCTGGGGAGTGATTAAGGACTACATTTCAGCTAGCAGGCCTCGGGGGAATATGCCCTTCGCGCACATGGAGAAGAAGAGCTTCACGATGTCGAGGATAGAGAGGCTTCTAGATCTGCCAGCATCTTCCACTGCTGCAGCGGCTCATCCTCCACCGCCCTCAAGAGCTTCAGTGCTGCAGAGAGTGACCAAGTTAGAGAAGAGGGTGAATGGTTTGGAGGTTGATATGACTGAATCGAGAGGGGTACATCGTAGGATGGCGTGACACATAGAGCTTTTACTAAGGAGCTACCACTTCGGGGACTGCTGCTCCAACTACTTTAGCACCACCTCCTACATTTGTCTTTGAGACGAGGGATGCGGTTCAGGAGATAGGGAGTAGTGAAGATGAGGAGGAGGCCGAGTCTAGATCAGACGATGAGAAGGAGGAGTCTGCTTCCGAGTAGCTAGCATGTTTAGTATGTAATTAGTAGTTTTTATGTTTAAAGAAGTCGTCCAGTTGGGTTGTGGGTGGTAATGACCTAGAATAGAAAACTCAGTTTTGTCCTAAGATTGCTACCTTTTGTATATTTGGTGCTGTTCGGTAACCATATGTTTTTATTTTTTTTTGTTTTTTTTTGCACTTTTTGTTAAAAAAACAAAAAAAATATGTTTGAAAATTTTTTTTATATTTTTTTAAGCCATTTTGTTTTGAAAACAAGGGCCAAATCTATAAACATAAAAAAGGATGTTTTCAAAATTAAAAACACGCGCGTTTCCTGTGAACAATTAATGAGATCCAACATTCGAATCTCATTAGCAACAAAACGTGGCTTTTTTTTTGTCCCAACTATAAAAGGCGCTTTTCCTTTTTTTTTTTTCTTATCTTTTTCCCTCGTCTGTCTCGCTCGTTCCTCTCTCTCTCACTCGTTCCTCTCTTCTAAAACCAACAACGAAGACGAAGACGAAATCGACGAAATCAAAGACGAAGACGAAACCTACATCATCTCTCTTGTTCGTTTCCCCTTTTTTCTTCTTTATACCATATATATATATATATACATATATGTGCATAGATCTACATATATGATGTTATTTTTACATAGATCTACATGTGTGTGTGTTTATTTGTGTTTGTGTGTGTGTGTGTGCATGTATATGTGTGTGTCTGTGTGTATGTGTGTGCCAGCAAATGGATCTTGCCTGTGAGTGTCAACACGAGCATCTCTATTTTTTTATTTTTTTTTTTGTTTGATCACAAAGAACATCTGCGAGTGATCACCAGAAATATTTGAGATTAAAATATTAACTAATATATATATACAGATCTAATACCCAAAATAAACTATTAACAAAAATATATAATACCAAATATATTTTTTATTTTTATTTTTATAATTTTTTAAATATAAATGACTATCAAACATGTTTTATATTTTAATTTTTATCATAAAAAGAATAAAAACTAATTTTGTATTTATTTTTAAAAAAAAAAACATAAAACCAAAACCGTTACCAAACGCACATTTAAACTTTGAGAGCATGATTTTAAAAATCGATCATTATGGTGTGTAACGGGCGTTGTATAACAGAAACACTGAACTTCGAATATGACGGGTAAAAAGAATTTCACATTTATAACGGTTGTTACGGCACCGTAATGAAATGTAACGGGCATTACAGGATCGTTAGAGTCCGTTACGCAATCATAACAGCCTATTTGTTAGCTTCCATAGCTCGTCCATGGAGATTTTCTACCCGGAAGAGATAAGCGAAGTATAAAGAAGCCGACTAGGTTGATAAAGGACAGGCTATCAATGGTTGGCATGCTTTTGGAAAAGACAAATATCAAGTGGATCATTTTTTTTCTACAACCTATCTAATGAATGATTGTTGATGCATTCTTAATAAATTTAGTAAATGGATAAATGACAAGTGTAATGTTATTTAATAATGTGAATTATTAGATTTAAAAACTTGTAGGTGGTGGGACCCATCTTACACAAATTAAGCTAAAAATTTTTATTGATAGTTGCAAAACATTTTTATTTTATCCAATGATTTAAATCTATCAATTCTTTTGATTACTTTCTAAATGCAATTTTCAAATAAACAGATATTAATTGCTTGAACTATTTTTTTTTCATTTGCCATAAATTTGGGTTAATTAAGTAATTTAGCATACCAAAAAGATTAATATAATAAAAAATTGTTATAAATGACAAAAAACTGAATTTATTTTATTTTAATCCAAATATATAGAAAATTTTAATTTTTGTCCATAGTTGTGAATGTATTAACAAAATTCACGGCTCTGATTTTTGTTACTGTTACGTACGCTCATTACATCTTGTGTCCGTTACACTGTTATCGATACCGTTACATTTTTTGTTACCGTTATTCAGAACCATGGTTAAGAATATAATATTAAATATTTGACAAGTTAATCTATCCATTTTGTATCGTTGATTCAGCGTTTAAGTATTTGAATTATGCTAAGTTTGAATTAATTGTGGTATTTGTTTTTGAAGGTGCCAAGAAGATGAAGAAGAGCATGTTGGCATCAAGTTAGAAGATCATGGGAGGCATAGGAAAGAAGAGGATAGGAGTTCAAAGGAGAAAAGAAGCAAATCAGAAAAGAGATGGTAGAACCGGTTTTACAAGGTGCATGAAGCTTAGTACCAGTTCTAGCATGCCTGTAGCAGTTCTATGAAGTCCAGAGAGACTGGAATTGATTCTACAATGCTAGAACTGTTACTACGATCAGCAAAAAGCTTGGAACTAGTTCTTCATGCTTGGTACAGGTTCGTCACACACAAAGTCAGTTCGTGAAGTCCCGAGCCTTCATTACTCGGCAGTGAAGCTACTCCCATCCACTTGTTGCACAATTTGAGGGACGGCTCCTACTTCCTAGGCAAGGATCTTGATTGGATGAGTGCACTTCCCAACAACAAAGTGAGCGGTTCCATTGGTCGATACCGACGGAGGAGAATTCTTTGGGAAAGCTTCCACCACCCATGCCACTCACACTAGCCAATAAAGAGGAAGGATGGAAATGTCACTATATATACACACTCCTTCATGCATTAGAGGAGGAAGGCTTAGCTTTTGAGTTTTGCTTGAGTTTTACATTAAAAGAGTTTTGCCGGGTTACGGAGAAGACACCCAAAAGGATTTCCATTTCATTTTCAAAGCTCTATATATAAAGTTTGTTCTTGTATTTGAACTTAGTGTTTTGAAGTTATTCTAGTGGAGATTACTTCTTTCAGTCTTGTTGCTCTTTTTTTTTAGTTTTACATGTTGTTTCTTGCTGATTTCGGCTTGATGGGTTTTACTTTCAACTAAGTGTCGGCGCGATCCGATGGTTGATTCTATCAAGCATAGTAATTCTCTAATGATTTCTAATAGATCAAATTCTTTGTAGAAGGGAAAAACCAACTTTAAAACTAGTTGTTAAGTGACCACCTGGATTTCTCGCCGACGGTTCATCTGGAATGAGTATTGCTTGAAAATCATTTATACATCTAAGTGCTTATCATTCTAGCTTCCATTCCCAATCCTTATGAATTTATATTATGAAAACTTGGTTTTTGTTGAATATTTTCCATCCAAACAAATTCGAATACAACCTCGGATGAGTGAAAATTGAGAATCAAAGCGCTTGATTATGGTGAGTTGATTCTTGAAGTTTAGCCGACTGTGTTTTTTCTTGATTTTTACACACTAGAATCAATTCCTTCATTTTTCCACAAGTCAAAAGGATTTTTTTTTTTTTTTTTGTATTGCACACACACACAATCGGATTTCCTTTGTTTCCTGAGGAGAGGACATTAGATTTCTGAATTATTACATTGCACAACTTTCTTACACGCGGAAAAAACATTGCAATATTTTAAACAACATCGAGCATACATCATTGGATAAAAAATAAAAAAAAGGGAGTTTGTAAATGACAAGCAAATCATATGCTAGCTTTGACCGAGCACATCAATATATTTTTATCTACCCAAAATCATTCTTCTATTACCATAGGTAAATGCCCTAATTTTTTAGAGACGTTAATTGATAAAAATAGATCCAATGAAGATAAACAGAGTGTTAAATCCTCAATAAAATTACAATTATCAATATAATCCTCAAATACAAATAAATCTCTCAATTTCAATATTACAATAATTATATTGGGATGTGCCCATCTTTAATGCGAGATTAGAACGTAGATCAAATACCTTACCAGCCATCCCACCTCAACTCGATCCCACGGGTCTCTTAGCTGGCGATGTATTGGACTATTGACTACCACCACCCCGTTTCAATCCACAAAAACACGATCAATGAGATCAATAATATTCAATCAAAAATACAAAATAATGATATCTCAATATAGTATAAAAATTAGAGAATAATCAAGAATATACTCTTAGCAAAGAGTTTTAAAGTCATAAACTTGACTCTAATTGCTATCAAGACCATATTTCCGAGTCCCATGAGTTTCGTAAGAATCAATATATAAACCACCGTGTAACTACCAAAACCTACCTCATGTTTTACTCGTAAAAACCCATTCTCTTTCTCTCTCTCTCTCTCAGTTCATATCTTCCTCTTCTTTTCTCTTGGTTCCTTATACCAGCCCCTAACCTCCCTTTTATTGCCCCTTAGAACCATGCTTAGTCACACTTCACTTACCAGCCTGTGGACAAGTGCCCACCTGATTTATTGCCATTCCTTGCTCTACGACAAGTGTTTACGCACTTGTCACTCACCCACACACCCACAAGCCTAGTCACTTGGTACTTCCGCCACCCAAATACATATGTCCCTTGAATTATTACATCACACGCCACACCTTCATGCAAGTGGATGAGTGTCCTAACACTTATTACACCCACATTTAGTCAGTTTCTACATTCTTTATTGAGTTACGCATGCGCATACATTTGTCTTCACCCTACTCAGCCCCTGGTAATGGACAAGTGCCCATCTCTTCTTTTTATTTAATTTTAACAACTCGTGCTTATATTATTTACCTACATTAACAAGTATCTCTGGACATTGAATACAAATAATTAGACTTCTAAATAAAATTAAAGGCTTTCATTTTGGTCAAACTCTCAATTAAACTCTATTACTATGAATAAATATAATCCATTTTTTTTTTGTAATAGAGACAGGATGTCACAATCTACCCTCTTAAAAAAATTTCGTCCTCAAAATTTAAAAGTACTGAATCATATGCTAGCTTTGACGAAGCACTTCAATAAATTTTTTTGCACCCAAAATCAATTACTCTATTACCCACAAGTCGTAATCCGACCTAAGTAATTAAACTTAAGACGGTCTACAAAATATCAATCATAAGGCTTTGATACCAATTTATAATGCCTCAATTTTTTGGAGACATTAATTGATAAAAATACATTAAATGAAGATGCTAATTCCTCAATAAAATTACAATTATCAATATATT